AGAAGAGAATTCTCATTAATTGGTGGGTTTTTTTTCGAAAAATATTCCCCCCAAAAAAATTTTTTTTTTTTTTTTTTTTTTTCCCCCCACACTTTTGCCTTGCCGCCTTCCAAAAACAAAACTTTACCGTAAATTGGCCACAACAAGCTGCCTTTTGAAAATTCAGGGAAAGAAAAACCAAATCCGAAAAATTAGTCCCGCGTTGCTTTTTTAATGGTGCCGGGTGGGGGGAACTTTTGGGGATCCACCAAAACCAGTTTTTTGGCAGCGGAAACGGGCAAAATGACTCCACAAATTGTAAATCGGTCAGATTATGTGGGGGTGTATCTGCCATCTGAGTTCTACGCCCCACTTGTTCGCGCCTAAACGAACCTTAGGACAAGGTTCATTTTTGTGTGCCCAATGCATTTTGCAAAATTCACATTTTTCTTGGTCTTGCGACAGTTTGACGAGGCCGTCTGGGTTTCCTTTTGGTCTTCACAACATAGGATCTTCCTACTCGAATTGTTCGAGGAATGAATGTTTTCCCTTTGTTCATTCACGTTCAAATTCCAACTGGTGGACATTCCTTCAGACTTGGCCACATGCCCTCGATTAAGTGGACCATCTGTCGACAGAGACTGGCAAAACTTGGTGCAAACAATGGCCCCCATGTTCAAGTTAAATATTGCGGAAGTGATTGAGACCCCCCCAATCACCACCACCCCCCCCCACACACACACGTGGGGGCTGCTGTTTGGAGAAGGAAAAAAAATAAGAAATTGAAAAAAAAAAAAAAGTGGCCAATCAGAGAGAGAGGGGGTCATGGGGGTCCAAGTCATATGATATTTAACTTCAACGAGGGGGCCATTGTTTGGGCCCAAAACAAACATAAAGTGCAGCCCAATATAAGAGCTTTTAAATATACTGGCCCCATCATAAGCTATAAAAGACCCACCCTTTTAACTTCAAACCACTTCATTTCCCTCTGATTCGAACTCCCCAGACTGTACTCCTTCTTCTCAACCATTGCCGTTCAAAACCAGAGCACCACAAAACCCTAAGCCATGGCTTTAAGTCATTACAATACAGAAAAAGGTTATTTCAAACGTATTTTCAAGTTTACCGACATTGAATATATTTTGATTAAATTATAGGGAAAATTCAATATTTGGCAGAGTTTGATGATTCATAGTCAGGGGCAGTAACTGTGAGTGGCCAAGTGTTGCGGTTCATTGGCCCAGTTTGCAAGGATTGTGGTTGTGTTTAGTGGACAATATTCTGTCGATTTTTGTCTCATAATGATGAGGGACATGCCCCACAATGGTGAAAAGGAAGGTCGACAGGGAAGAGTCAATATTTGGCAGAGTGGACTTGAAGATTCGAAGTCGGGGCAGTTACAGTGGCAGTTATGGTGTAGACGTGTGGGATCATGCAATGATGGGCCACAAAAACAGTATACGGATATCAATACTAAACCTCCACTTCTATCTGTCGATCTCCTTTTTCTTGTGTTTATTTCATGGCCACCAACTGTTTTAAACTTCTGTCGACAGAGCAAGGCTCCTGCTTTGTCTCATGCTTCCTCCTGAAAGTGTGCCCGCTAACTCCGTGACTGGTGGTAAAAACTTCCCCTATCACTTCTAGGTGACCCACATGCAGAGAGCCCACTTTCAGGTCGTGGACATTCCTTCAGACTTGGCCACATGCCCTCGATTAAGTGGACCATCTGTCGACAGAGACTGGCAAAACTTGGTGCAAACAATGGCCCCTATGTTCAAGTTAAATATTGCGGAAGTGATTGAGACCCCCTCCAAGCACCCCCACCCCCACCCCCCCCACACACACACGTGGGGGCTGCTGATTGGAGAAGGAAAAAAAAATAAGAAATTGAAAAAAAATATAAAAAGTGGCCAATCAAAGAGAGAGAGGGTCATGGGGGGTCCCCCCTTGTGGGGGTCCAAGTCATATGATATTTAACTTCAACGAGGGGGCCATTGTTTGGGCCCAATAGCAAATTTCTTAATACGGGCCCAAAACAAATATAAACTACAGCCCAATATAAGAGCTTTTAAATATACTGGCCCCATCATAAGCTATAAAAGACCCACCCTTTCAACTTCAAACCACTTCATTTCCCTTTGATTCGAACTCCCCAGACTGTACTCCTTCTTCTCAACCATTGCCGTTCAAAACCAGAGCACCACAAAACCCTAAGCCATGGCACCGAAAAAATCTCAACCATCTCCATCTGAGGAGAACAATGAAGACCTACTCCGCTTCCCAGACCCTATCAGAGCATGTATTGCTCCCCTAAAATTTGCTGCAACCCTATTGCCCAGCACAAGCTCTGTCGCTAAGGCTACTCTAGGCCCTACCTTCGCGTCTTACTTCCCAGACGAGCTAGCTCCATACTATCCCTTTGGTAATGGTGAGAACCTTCTTCTCAACCAAGCTGGACTTAAGTGAACTAACTGGAATGTCAGCAAAAACCCACTCAGAGGGTGGAGGTCACCAGACTCTGATTGGCGAAGCTGGGCCAGGAGAATTAAAGGTCACGACACTGAAGTATTGAAGCACCAGGGCATTGGTGAAGCAATTAGACTGTCGACTAAAATTTATGACGTGGACAAAGGGCTGATTGCTGCTGCTGCATGCTTTGGTCGCAGTCTAGTAACTCCCTACTCCTCAATTTTGGTATGATTTCCCCTACCATCTTAGATGTAGCTCACTTGACTGGTCTCCCAATCTTGGGCAATCCAATTCATGCTCTCATTGAGCCTCCAAAAGTGACATTTACTTTAAACACTGACATGTGCTATACAGATTTTGCCAAAAAATACCAAGGCAAGCCTGGTTCCCCTGTCGATGACAAAGAAAGAACTGCTTTTTACTTACTTTGGCTTTGTGAGTTTCTTTTTTGTGTCCCTGGGTACAAGATCACGAAAGAATACCTCCCCCTTGCCTTGTGTATGCAAGATGGCCAACTTATGGCTTTAGCCCCTTATCTTCTTGCCACCCTTTACAAGGCCCTATTTTCCTTTGTCGTCAAGAAGATTTCTGGCAGCTGTGGTGGCCCCTTCTGGCTCTTCCAAGCCTGGTTGTATGCCTATTTCCCTGAGGCACGACCCCCACCACCTAACACCTTTAAACCTGTTTGCTACTCCTATGCTGAGCAACTGCTCACTTATAACAGCCAACCCATCCTCACTTTCAGAAATCATCTTACAATGTTTTACAACCTTCCTTCGCAGAGACCTTCCAACCTGTACATGCCATTTCAAAACTTTGAATTCTCCTCCAGTAGACTTTGCTTCCTCTTCACAGACCCTTCTGATTTACACAATGAGCAAGTCCAAGAACAAAATGAGAGTTGGAGACACATTCTCACCTGTAGACATGTCTTGGTTGGCTGTTCCATATCCTCCGCCAAGCTATCCAGCTGCAGTTTTGAGACATACTGTCCCAATCAATGGTCCAGGCAATTTGGTCTTTCCCAGGCTATCCCTTATCCTTATTTCCACCCAACCATCCATGAGGAGATTGGGTCCAGAATCCACTTGAAAGATCCTACACAAGCTGAATCCATTCTGACAGAGAACACCAAACTTTTCCAAGATTTTGGCCCCTTCTTCTTCAAACCTGCTTCGGACTGCTCGGCTGCTTTTGACCATTGGAGGGGACTTATGTCTGCCATTATTTTCTGCAAGCCACTTGAAAGCTGCCTTAACGATACTTGTATTGATATTCAGGGTCGCATATCCTCGCCTTCCAAGCTTAAGGCTACAGGTATCCTTCCTTCATATACTTCATATCCCTGACTGTGTCATGCAATTTGTTTTGTTTTTTTCTCTACAACACTAACTTGTTTAACCTTTGACAGCCAAAATTGGGCCTGCTCCTGAACCATTGGTTAGGGACCAACGTAAAGGCAAGGATCCAATGGATGCAACTACTCAGACAAACACCCCCTCAGTTCCGAAATTAATGGAAGACTCTTTTGCAGCCGCGCAGACACAAACACAGAGAGGAACTACTACCCGTACCCCTGTCGAGACCGAGGTCACGACGAAGAAGAGAGAAGAGCCTTCCACTGCTCCTGCTCTAAGCACAGACCTAAGTGAGTGGGATATCCCTCTCAGCCAAATGGTTGGCGAAACAACATCAAATCCTTCGGGGCAGCTCTACCAAGTAAGCCTTCACTTTACATATTTACAGCATCTGAATTTGCATTCACGCCTGACTGATCACTTACTTTTGTTCAGAGAAAAAGAAGGAGATTACTCCTTGCTGCTGCTGATGATGACGATGCTTCCACTTCTCCTCAACACATTCATCAAATTCCCAGTCCAATCAGTAATGTACCCACAGAACCCACTGTACAACCAACTCCACCACCACCTGAAGCATCGCAACAAACTTCCTTACAACCTGCTTCACAGTCTTCGCCACAGCAATCCACACAGTCTGCATCACAACATCCTTCCACTTCTCCTCAACACATTGTCCCTTCTGTCTCTAGCCCTCAACCATCACCATCCAACCCCTCCAATTCCCAAACGTCAAACAAAGAATCACAGAGGATTGAATTTGACATTTCAATCAACAACCAATCCTCTCCAACAGATGACAACACAAAATCCCCTCAACCAGAAGTTCACCACAACCAAGGTAAATAGAAATACAAATGTTACTGTTCGTTTGGGAAAAAAAAACTTCTCTTTAAGTAACTGGTATTGTTCTCCAATTTACAGGGATGGACATAATACAGGACTCATCTCCACGACCAATGGGCAAGACAGAACTTGAAGGTCCTCATGACTTTCCCCTGCTAGCAGAACCAGAGAAACACCCTCAAGGCGCTGATGCTGCCATCTCATCAGTACCAGAAACAACTCGTCCTCATGCGACAACCACAGCTGAACAAGGCCAACCGTCTGCGTGCACGTTATCAGGACAGGTACTACCATTTCCAACCTCATCCTATTTACTCTTTATTACTTGCAAGCATATATTCTCACCAAACTATTAATGTTCACAGGCCGTCGGTCCATGCCAGGATATTTGGGCCGAAGTTTCTATTCTTCAACAAGATCTAGACGAAATATCCCCATTGCCTCAAAGGCTACATCTGTTTGATGCTGAAACTCAACAAACCTTAACCACCTTCATCAACCTCATTAACACCCCAGTTGAAGAAATCATTCTCCACAAACCTGATGAAACCTTGGCCTGTCTTTCTGCTGTTGTAAACCTCTCCCCTAATCCTTTCAACCCCATTCAACTAAAGCAATTGGCCAAGATCATCACAGAATGGCCAACCCTTTCAGAGATGGTTCAGACTTGCTCAAAGGATATTCAAACCAAAAAAGATTTCCTAAACCAAGCCCACACCATATATACTTCACTCAAACTCAACCACCAAACCTTTGCAGCCATTCTTAAGCAACACTCAGCACTTGAACTTGAGAAAACCAAATTCATGGCAGAACTTGCCTCTGTCTGGCAAAGAAAGGCTCATCTGCAGCAGCAACACGACCAGCTTAATCAAGAAGCAAGGATGATGCTCTCCCAAATTAGACATCGTTCTGCATCCATTCAGACAACTAAAGCTGAGTTGGACCAAGCCCAAGCCATGCTGGCAGATGCTCAATCAGAGTGGGGTGTGTTCTAGCTGTTCTGTTCCCCAAATCCTAAGCTAGTTTATATATGTATTCTTTTGTATTGCACACCTAGGAATGATTTGGAAAGGTAGGAATGATTGCCTTTTTAATGAGAAGATTGTTAATGGGCCTGAGTTGGCTGAGATGGTGAAAGTAAGGGTTGCACTTTTTTTTCTCTACAACACTAACTTGTTTAACCTTTGACAGCCAAAATTGGGCCTGCTCCTGAACCATTGGTTAGGGACCAACGTAAAGGCAAGGAGAGAGGGGGTCATGGGGGTCCCCCCTTGTGGGGGTCCAAGTCATATGATATTTAACTTCAACGAGGGGGCCATTGTTTGGGCCCAAAACAAGCATAAAGTACAGCCCAATATAAGAGCTTTTAAATATACTGGCCCCATCATAAGCTATAAAAGACCCACCCTTTCAACTTCAAACCACTTCATTTCCCTCTGATTCGAACTCCCCAGACTGTACTCCTTCTTCTCAACCATTGCCGTTCAAAACCAGAGCACCACAAAACCCTAAGCCATGGCACCGAAAAAATCTCAACCATCTCCATCTGAGGAGAACAATGAAGACCTACTCCGCTTCCCGGACCCTATCAGAGCACTTATCGCTCCTCTAAAATTTGCTGCAACCCTATTGCCCAGCCCAAGCTCTGTCGCTAAGGCTACTCTAGGCCCTACCTTCGCGTCTTACTTCCCAGACGAGCTAGCTCCATACTATCCCCTTGGTAATGGTGAGAACCTTCTTCTCAACCAAGCTGGACTCAAGTGGACTAACTGGAATGTCAGCAAAAACCCACTCAGAGGGTGGAGGTCACCAGACTCTGATTGGCGAAGCTGGGCCAGGAGAATTGAAGGTCACGACGCTGAAGTATGGAAGCACCAGGGCATTGGTGAAGCAATTAGACTGTCGACTAAAATTTATGACGTGGACAAAGGGCTGATTGCTGCTGCTGCTGCTGCTGCTGCATGCTTTTGGTTGCAGTCTAGTAACTCCCTACTCTTCAATTTTGGTATGATTTCCCCTACCATCTTAGATGTAGCTCACTTGACTGGTCTCCCAATTTTGGGCAATCCAATTCATGCTCTCCTTGAGCCTCCAAAAGTGACATTTACTTTAAACACTAACATATGCTATACAGATTTTGCCAAAAATTACCAAGGCAAGCCTGGTTCCCCTGTTGATGACAAAGAAAGAACTGCTTTTTACTTACTTTGGCTTTGTGAGTTTCTTTTTTGTGTCCCTGGGTACAAGATCACGAAAGAATACCTCCCCCTTGCCTTGTGTATGCAAGATGGCCAACTTATGGCTTTAGCCCCTTATCTTCTTGCCACGCTTTACAAGGCCCTCTTTTCCTTTGTCGACAAGAAGATTTCTGGCAACTGTGGTGGCCCCTTCTGGCTCTTCCAGGCCTGGTTATATGCCTATTTTCCTGAGGCACGACCCCCACCACCTAACACCTTGAAACCTGTTTGCTACTCCTATGCTGAGCAACTGCTCACTTATAACAGCCAATCCATCCTCACTTTCAGAAATCATCTTACCATGTTTTACAACCTTCCTTCACAGAGACCTTCCAACCTGTACATGCCATTTCAAAATTTTGAATTCTCCTCCAGTAGACTTCGCTTCCTCTTCACAGACCCTTCTAATTTACACAATGAGCAAGTCCAAGAACAAAATGAGAGTTGGAGACACATTCTCACCTCTAGACATGTCTTGGTTGGCTGTTCCATATCCTCCGCCAAGCTATCCAGCTGCAGTTTTGAGACATACTGTCTCAATCAATGATCCAGGCAATTTGGTCTTTCCCAGGCTATCCCTTATCCTTATTTCCACCCAACCATCCATGAAAAGATTGGGTCCATAATCCACTTCAAAGATCCTACACAAGCTGAATCCATTCTGATAGAGAACACCAACTTTTCCAAGATTTTGGCCCCTTTTTCTTCAAACCTGCTTCGGACTGCTCGGCTGCTTTTGACCATTGGTGGGGACTTATGTCTGCCATTATTTTCTGCAAGCCACTTGAAAGCTGCCTTAACGATACTTGTATTCATATTCAGGGCCGCATATCCTCGCCTTCCAAGCTTAAGGCTACAGGTATCCTTCCTTCATATACTTCATATCCCTGACTGTGTCATGCAATTTGTTTTGTTTTTTTCTCTACAACACTAACTTGTTTAACCTTTGACAGCCAAAATTGGGCCTGCTGCTGAACCATTGGTTAGGGACCAACGTAAAGGCAAGGATCCAATGGATGCAACTACTCAGACAAACACCTCCTCAGTTTCGAAATTAATGGCAGACTCTTTCGCAGCCGCGCAGACACAAGCACCGAGAGGAACTACCACCTGTACCCCTGCCGAGACAGAGGTCATGGCGAAGAATAGAGAAGAGCCTTCCACTGCTCCTGCTCTAAGCACAGACCTAAGTGAGTGGGATATCCCTCTCAGCCAAATGGTTGGCGAAACAAGCACAGAGAGGAGCTACCACCCGTACCCCTGCCGAGACAGAGGTCACGACGAAGAAGAGAGAAGAGCCTTCCACTGCTCCTGCTCTAAGCATAGACCTAAGTGAGTGGGATATCCCTCTCAGCCAAATGGTTGGCCAAACAACATCAAATCCTTCAGGGCAGCTCTACCAAGTAAGCCTTCACTTTACATATTTACAGCATCTGAATTTGCATTTACGCCCGACTGATCACTTACTTTTGTGCAGAGAAAAAGAAGGAGATTACTCCTTGCTGCTGCTGATGATGACGATGCTTCCACTTCTCCTCAACACATTCATCAAATTCCCAGTCCAATCAGTAATGTACCCACAGAACCCACTGTACAACCAACTCCACCACCACCTGAAGCATCCCAACAAACTTCCTTACAACCTGCTTCACAGTCTTCGCCACAGCAATCCACACAGTCTGCATCACAATATCCTTCCACTTCTCCTCAACACATTGTCCCTTCTGTCTCTAGCCCTCAACCATCACCATCCAACCCCTCCAATTCCCAAACGTCAAACAAAGAATCACAGAGGATTGAATTTGACATTTCAATCAACAGCCAATCCTCTCCAACAGATGACAACACAAAATCCCCTCAACCAGAAGTTCACCACAACCAAGGTAAATAGAAATACAAATGTTACTGTTCGTTTGGGAAAAAAAAACTTCTCTTTAAGTAACTGGTATTGTTCTCCAATTTACAGGGATGGACATAATACAGGACTCATCTCCACGACCAATGGGCGAGACAGAACTTGAAGGTCCTCATGACTTTCCCTTGTTAGCAGAACCAGAGAAAGAGCCTCAAGGCGCTGATGCTGCCATTTCATCAGTACCAGAAACAACTCGTCCTGATGCCACAACCACAGCTGAACAAGGCCAACCGTCTGCGCGCACGTTATCAGGACAGGTACTACCATGTCCAACCTCATCCTATTTACTCTTTATTACTTGCAAGCATATATTCTCACCAAACTATTAATGTTCACAGGCCGTCGGTCTATGCCAGGATATTTGGGCCGAACTTTCTATTCTTCAACAAGATCTAGACGAAATATCCCATTACCTCAAAGGCTACATCTGCTTGATGCTGAAACTCAACAAACCTTAACCACCTTCATCAACCTCATTAACACCCCAGTTGAAGAAATCATTCTCCACAAACCTGATGAAACCTTGGCCTGCCTTTCTGCTGTTGTAAACCTCTCCCCTAATCCTTTCAACCCCATTCAACTAAGGCAATTGGCCAAGATCATCACGGAATGGCCAACCCTTTCAGAGATGGTTCAGACTTGCTCGAAGGATATTCAAACCAATAAGGATTTCCTAAACGAAGCCCACACCATATCTACTTCACTCAAACTCAGCCAGCAAACCTCTGCAGCCATTCTTCAGCAACACTCAGCACTTGAACTTGAGGAAGCCAAACTCATGGCAAAACTTGCCCCTGTCCGGCAAAGAAAGGCTCATCTACAGTAGCAACATGACCAGCTTAATCAAGAAGCAAGGATGATGCTCTCCCAAATTGGACATCGTTCTGCATCCATTTAGACAACTAAAGCTGAGTTGGACCAAGCCCAAGCCATGCTGACAGATGCTCAATCAGAGTGGGGTGTTCTAGCCGTTCTATTCCCCAAATCCTAGGCTAGTTTATATATGTATTCTTTTGTATTGCACACCTAGGAATGATTTGGAAAGGTAGGAATGATTGCCTTTTTAATGATAAGATTGTTGATGGGCCTGAATTGGCTGAGATGGTGAAAGTGAGGGTTGCACTTTGCTGTAAGCAAAGTTATAGAGGCCTACAGTATTCAGTGGACGACATATATTGTATTCTGGATAGTATCAAAGTCTGATTTAGGGGGTGGTGTTTGGTGTTTTTTTAAACTGGGGTGCTGGAGTTTGGTCAATCTGTGGTATGCAGGATTTTGGTTAGTCTGTGGTATTACCATATCTTCTTGGTGGCTACTTTTGCTCTGCTGTGCTTCAATGTTGTTATGCTTTGCCTTATTTTTGGCTTGTTGCACTGGCTTAGTTTATGGGGTCAAGCATGCTCATTTCTGGTTGCTGCTCTGCTGTGCTTCAACTCTGTACTCTGATGCTGCTATATGGGATCAACGAATAGGCTTAAGTCTGCTGCTGCATATTGGCCTTTTTGCAATTGTTTGAATGATGTTTTGGTGTGCTGTATTTGGAAGTCTGCTGCTGGATTGGGGAAAGTTATTGGAGGTCTGCTGCTTGCCTTGTTGTAATTGTTGGTCTGCTGCTGTAGTTATTTTTTTTTTTTGGAGGTTGAAGGATTAGGCTCAAGTCTCAATGGAGGTTGAAGGTTCAGGCTCAAGTCTCAATGGTGGCTGTATGGTCTGAAGTTTGTTCATGCTGCCTTGGAGTTTCATCTGGTTGCCCTGTTATGTGGTTTTGTGAGGATGGGCTTGGAGTTACATTCTTATTGTTTTCCTTCTGTTTTTGTTTCTCTTCGTTGGTCTCTCACCAACTAGGAGGCTGGAGCTTTTTTAGCTCCAACCTCCTCTTTGTTGATGTATCATTGACACCTTGTATGTGCTTTTTCATCAATACAGTTTTTTGTTTTGCTGAACAAAAAAAAAAATTGAATATCAATACTTTGTGTTTTTAATGGTCTGTTGTATGGTTGTTTTTATTTTTTGTGCAATTTTTCACCGTTTGTGCATTGTTATGAAGTAATCAATTCCCCTTCACAGTGCATTATAGTCACCGCTATTTGTTTGTTCTGTGGGCTTCTTTTTGCTTTGTTTTGGACAAAATCATGGCATTCAAAAAAATCGAACAAACATAATTCATGTGGTAAAAGCGAACAAACATTACTACTTTCAACTTGCATTGTTTGTTGGACAAATATCACATTGCACTGGACAAACATTACTATAGTCATTTGGGCAAATATGACATTGCATTGTTTGTTCTGTACCCATAACATTGGAATTATGTGTATCACATTACATACAGGCCACGATAAAAGCAAACAAACATGACTACTTTCCCTCGTTTGTTCGAGTCCCAAACATTGGAATTATGTGTACAATCAATACGCGTGGGAAATTAGTATTATCACAGCTGCGACCTAAAAAGTTGTCACGACAAGCTGATGCAGTAATCCAGTTGTGGTTGGGCATCGAAATTACACTCGTACTGGCAGGCCATGATAAAATCGCTGCACTATTTGTTGTAATTGCAATCAATCACAAGCACGAACAATACTCGCCCATCTTTGTATTGTTCACATCCATAACGAAGTCAAGCACCAACTTCCGGCGCACAAAAGGATGAAACTATGTACAGAAAGTGAATAACACAAATCAGGTACAGTTACAGCAGTAGGAAATAAACAGATTTATTTCGCAATTGGAAATTAAGCGGTACAATGTACCTTGTGTGGACCGCTGGGTATATCAAGCCGCTACATGTACTTGATCACAAACATCCCACAGTCGAAAGTGCTACAAATGAAATGTAACATTCAGTTTCTCGTAAAATATAAGCAGGTTCGTTAAATGAGTGATTCAAGAGTGAAGTCAATGTGACGCAAGGTTTGTGGATTACTCGTCCAGCTGTTGTAATGGCCTTTGTTCTAACATGCGCACCTCAAAGGTACGCATGTCTACAGCATATTCATTTCCAAACTGTAGTTGCAGTAAGGCATGCATTGTTTGAACCTGTTGCAGAATGAGACGGTTAGTTTATGTGAAGGATGTGACAGTGTGGAAGTAGATTTGTGAAATTCAGCACGACATACCAACATTTTTGCTGTGTTCAGCTTGTTGGTGTCCAGTGTGGCGGATGCCAATGAGTCAAATAGGTACGCCACACGGTCTACCATATCTATTTTTAGGCACACCCAATGTACTCCTCCATAATTGAAAGGCATGTAAATCTACACATAAACATAAACACAAGCGAAGACATTGTTTAGAGGGCATGCGAACATGTACGCACTTTCATATTTACATTGACATTCAAGTAAATGGGATCGACATTCATATTACCGACGTCCATATTAAATCTACTCGCTTCAATGGGATGGACATTCATATTACCTTCTCACATGCATCAAGCACCCCAGTATATCTGTCATGTCCAAAATATGATTTGACGATATTTTCATGGTTCAGAGGTTGAGTTTTTTGATTTAGTATCAAAGTCTGCATGTTTAGTGTGTAAAGTTCAGTCAGCCAAAGTTTTCTGAAAATATGTCTTCTGCAATACACAACCGACCTAAAACACTTACTTACCGACAAATATACTGGAAAGAACCACGCAGTATGCCTACCGTCTTTGTGTACTTGCCGCTGTTCGTTAGTCAATTGAACCGCGACCAAGTTGATTGGCTGGAACATTGTAACAGACCAGGCAACTTGCGAAATAAGGTTTACCATTTGTTTAAATGTAATACGAAATAACAATGTCCTTACATGGATATGTCCATCATGCAAATATAGTGGAAATAACATTATCAGATGCCACGACTTACAGTGTCGGATAGCCATGCCCCTGGTTTCAGCGTGCGCATGTCACGCAGATGCCACGACTTACAGTGTCGGATAGCTATGCCGCTGGTTTTAGCGTGCGCATGTCACGTCGCGTAGCACATTCGCAAGGCATTTCATGCAGATTCATAGATACGACAATGTCCCTACATAAAACGTATACATCAACCAGTAAGAAGCAACCTACAGCCTAGTAAAACTTAAACGTATCTGGCTTAAATCTACAACATAAGATTAGTTTTTTCTGTTGTACAACTATGGCAGATATTCCAGATTCTACTAGGCTCCAATTCAATGAAGATTAGTTTTAAGTTTTTAAAAAACAAAATGAAAAGACAAAGTTTTAGATATTACAACTTATGACATGTCCAATAGTATTTGCTTAAATAATATGTGAAAATTGAAATGCTCATTTACAGGTCAGCAAGTTAAAAAAAAAAGAAACACGTTTTTTACAAACTGGAGCCGACAATATCCCAAAATGATCAAAATGGAAAATGTAAGCAGAGTAGAAGAAAATAGCTAGGGAAAATTGCACTTCATTATAAGTTTTCAAAAAAATTTGCAAATCATTGGTAAACTTTATTAAGTTTCATAATTAAAATTATAAAGGTTTCCATGAATTTGTAAATATTTTTGTGAAAATATCAGTGGTTTGCAATTTTCCCAATAGGTACATGTGTGCAGGATAAGACCAAAAGAAGAAAACTTCAGACAGGAAATTTAGCCACTGATCTTTCCGTAGCCCACTACATTAGATTCAAAGAAAATCCTACATACGACATGGATAAACCCATCATAAACCCATCAAAATCATAGAGAAGGAAAAATTAAAGAACTGATACCTACAAGAATCAAATAAACATAGCACGACACATGAAAATTGTGGAATTCAAACTTATTTCACAAATACTACGGAACAGGTTAATTGCGAGTACTAAACTCATCCGTACCTTTCATTGTTTCTGTCGTCAAGTACAGAGTCAACAACTTCGTGTTCGGCTGCTGATAAAACCTCTATGCTCTCTAGTGTTATCAAGCCCTTTTATCAATATAAACAATCAAGTAACATCAACTCTTCCTATTAATATAAACAATTAACTAACTCACCACTGTTAAGAAATTTAATTTGCAAAGTACATAACACATCCTTATGCATCTAAAATTGGTGAAGCGATGTCTAACCTCTGAACAGAACCGCTTGTCCAACTTGTGCAGTTTGGACAGGACTTTGTTTGAAATCTGTAAGACAATTGTACAACATTTGTTACTGCAAACTTGCACTAGATTGACAAATATTAAAATACAACACAAATAACGGTTCTATTATGATCAGTAATGCTGTCGGCATCAATTGGTAATGAAACATACGAAAGGTGAAGTGATGTGGCGACTTGGGAATTTTTCGGCAGTAAGTCGAGTACTTATTTTGCTATCGTTGTACGAATGCATATCCCCTACGTCTGTTGCTTCAACACCTCTTCCTCTTCCTCTTCTTCTTCTTCTTCCTCTTCCCTTTCGTGTGCCTGTTACAATTTGTCCCGCTCCCAATGTTTGGGCTACCTTACCAGCAGAAGGATGCACATTG